TGGAACGGCTGTAATACGTTAGATTTAGAAGCCTTGGGCTCACATACCGAGATAACAGTCAAGTTTTCTTTTTTCAGCTTGCATTGGCTCTTTATACCAAGAGTAAAGTTACATGAATTTTTTCTTCAGGGGATTTACAGCAGAATGCGCCTAACCGCTGGGTTTTCATAATGTCACGCGTTTTAATAGCCAGTGTAAAGTTATCACAATAGATGCACACACGCACACGCATGCACGTACGCACACATACACATCCACACAATAATTCCGTGAGACACGGCCTTCAGTTTTAGCCTCATTAAGATTTTGGGAAATTGTCAGAAAGCCCTGGCTTCAGATAACGTTACTACAAAATACTATCAGGAGTTCGTCTCTTTTTTTCGAGTGGTATGCACTACGCCCGTTCCAGCACGTGCTATGAAATACATCGAGCCGTTTGAACAAACTTATTTCTCTCCGCCCTCCGATTGAAGCTTCCCCAGCAACAACAACAACAACAACAACAAAAGGACCACTATATTCCGTAGGAAATTACACTGACCCGAAACCGGGATGATTAGTGAGAAAACAGTTGGGAGAGGAAGGGTTGGGGCCTATGGCTAAGGTTCAGTTCTTCGTCGGTAAAAGTTAAAGATGTTCGTATTTCTTCCTTTCTTTCTTTCATCCTTCAATCACCCTGTGTAGATGGGAGCTATGCTAGCCTGTCACAATTACTGGCACTGGGCGCTATACCACATCCAGAAGGTTGTTATCTCTTTCTTTAAAGTTAATGTTATGGTTTTTCTGTTTGTTTGTTTGTTTATTTGCTGGTTTAGTTTTCGCATTTATGGTTACTTTTTTTTTAGCCATGTTTGCTATTAAACGCCAGCCTTTCTTTATTAGGGAGAACATCAAGCCGCAGTGGACATTTATGACGAGGAGGTGTAGCGTAAAAATGATCGATAACCTGTGATTTATTTTTGTCATTACTAATTCTCAGCAGGTCACATCTGATAGGTACATACACGACGTACATGTCAAATTAAAGTTATTTTATGCCAATTTGTTTTTTCATTCGCTCAATACTTAGAGATTCAAATTATTATAATATCTTTTTTCTCTCTAGAAGTGCGAAATACTTCATGTGTGTTTGTACAGTATCGTACACCTAGAGGGTAAATACATTACATTGACCTCCTTATGGCGCTGTTTGAATTAATTATAACTGTGTAGCTTTTCTTTCTTGGTCAAAGGTTGGGAAACGTTGCCATTCTGGTGCCATGCTTGACTTAGTGGACGCTTCCTCACTGCTCTACAGACTTCAAATGGAAGGTAATGAGATAACACGTACCTGTAGATGTGTTGTGAATATCATTATTTGTTTTTTCGTCGATCGATCGTTTGATCTATGGAATGATTGATAAATCAATCCATGGTGCAATCAGGTCTACTAATCATTTGGCAGTCAGTATACTAATTATTCAACCATTTAATCGGTAGTTTATTCAATTGATCAAGGTATTATTCAAATAATCTATGAATTCAATCGAGATCAAGCCTTTAAAATTAAGCATTATTAATCATTGTAATGCAATTATTGTACACTGAAGTCATTGGCATGGATGAATTAAACCCACGACTTGATCCATTTTACGTATGATGCACGATCCTCGCAGTAGATAGCGCTATTTGTGCAATAGCGAAGATCAGACCTGAACGAAATTAGGCCTGTACGGGATTCGAACCACTGACCTCTGCGATACTAGTGGAGCGCTTTACCAATTGAGCTAACAAGCCAACTGAGAGCAAGCCGTTAAGTTGATTCGTAATAAACCCGTGAAAGTGATACATCAGATGCAATGAATATATGAGGTTCATACATTTTGAACTGCGTTCTATCGAGAATCGTCCTCTTTTCCTGGGTGGTCTTGCACTATTAAAAATACGAGCCATTGCTTTCACCCAGACCTCTCCTCACCCAAAACCCAGGTCACTCACACATCCTTCATTCGCTATTGGTTAATTATTTTTTTTTTACATCTTTTATTTAGTTATTAATTTTTTCAACTCAGGTTTTCAATGATGTTCATATGTTGATGTGTACACTGGGAGCTAAGATGGAAGATGCAACACTAAATCTATTGATGTCAGTTAGAGATTATGTTAGGTAATATGGAAAAAGTGTAGAAGAACGCTCAGATCAACAACCTGTCAGTCACTAAAAGAGTATTTAGTTATCTATCAAGCGTTGATGGATTTGAGGCATTCTGATTAACTTACTACACTTCCTTCGATGTAAAATACCCGTAGATCTAGGTTTTAGTTATTTGCAACTGACTATATCACCAAGTACTTTCCCAGGAACTGAACAGGAGACTATGGCAAGCGAGCAGCAATTCTGTTATCACTTTCTGCAAACGAGATTTGGTTGTTCCAGCTCGTGGTCGTAAAATTATTTCCAGTGACAGGTTTTCAGTGAAAGGGTCTCAAAAAAAGGAAATCAACTGAGAACGGCGATGTATTCAAACCGCAGAAAGATTCATGAACTATCGTAAAAGAGGCACGTTTCGTTAATCTCAGGTTAACGTTTTACGGTCTCCCAACTTGACTTCACTAAACACTTAAAGGAGTTATGACTGGAACAATGAAATGCTTGAGGTATAATTTTGTGTCTTCTTTTTTGAAAGGGAAACTTCGACAGAGCTGTGGACATTTTAAAACCCTTCCGCTATGACGTTGTCAACATTGGGGCCAGTAACGCACAGGTTCGTGTATTTCATTGCAATTCATCAACATTGGGGCCAGTAACGCACAGGTTCGTGTATTTCATTGCAATTCATTGTCGTTAATTAGTGCAACTTGTGGCAACATCTCTTTGGTTTTTCCTTTGACACAGCGGGACATCTTCAACTTATTCCTGATTCACGCTGCTCTGCATTCTTCACGAAAAGAGCATCATCACTTGGCAAGGTAAAGTGCAGTTTCTTTCGTTTGAATCTATATCCTTTTCATATCTGAATTAGATCTGTTGATCCTAACAGAACAGACGACGACAGATTTTTATACTTATGTTTTTTCTTTCTGAATGGCCAGATATTTCGGTAGCCTGTTATTCTCCCCCAGACCTGTTTGAGTGAAGGCTTTTAAATTATGAAACACCCCATTGGGGCCAGGTAAAGTGAAGTCGACACATAGGCGTGATATGCAAAAGATATCACCTTTTTATAAAATTCAGATCTAATGCATGAAATATGACCTATAACCAAAATCAAATGACTACTGCTAAGCAATACCTGGGCTGAGTCTTCAAAGGTAAGTGAGGTGGCTTTTGTGAACATAAACGTCAAGCTTTACGTCATTGTTGAGATCCTTGGGCTAAAAACAACCCTTTGCAAAAGATTCACAGCGAATAATAAGTGTGGCCATGCAGATGAACACCACCCAGCTCCCAGTTTAAAATCGTTGGCTCAAGCTGAGAATCTGATTTTTACATATTTATAATCAAGTAAGAAAGACGGGGGGATAAATTGCACGGGGGAAGTGTGGGGCGCCATTAGTCACGGTTCCTGACCTCGCAAATGCATTTTCTAAAGTTTACCTTCACGTACGCTAGCGTTTTCGTTTTTCTCTAAAGAAGCTCTCATTACTGGGTCCACCTTTTAACTTGTGTACTCACAAACAGCTTTTTATTGTTATTGTTCCCTTGTGTTGATGCATCCATGGTCACGAACTATCCGAAAATTGCAAAAATACGACTATTTGTTTTTTGTTTTTGCTTTTAACAAAATAAGTTTTCAGGTTATTCATATGTAATTACACAAAGATAGTCCCTAAAGCGGAGGGTTGCTGCCTATTGGACACAAACTCGGCTACTTTCGCCTCCATACTAGCGCGATTTCCTTCCCTATGGTAGGCGGCGAACATTGCTGGTGTAAAGAACTGATGATTGGTAGAGTGCTGTGGGAAAACCCCACATAACGCGTGTTAACGTTCTTTTGAGAATACTGTACTTTGAATCTGAAAAAAAAAAAAAAAAAAAAAAAAGAAAAACTAGACACGACAACAGCTGAAGGTGCGGTGCATTTTTAGCAACTCACTACGCTTCAAAGACTGCAGACCTCAATTTGCCTAACCGTCCTCTAGCCGTGCTTATTCCAGGCAGCGAGTGCCCTATCTTTTTGATAAAAAAGACTAGGCTAGATTGGGCAAGAAAGAGAACAGATAAATTATTGCCCTTGTAATATTATTAAATCATAGAAAAATTTTTTTTTGTTTTACGTTCATACCGTGATAGCTCCTCAATCATCTGCAGCTCAGTGGTATATGCTTAGCATGTAATCTTAATGATCTGGCAATGTAGGTTATGTGTGATTCAATATTTTTTATATCCTGATGATAATACTTTCATCAAGTTATTCATCGTGAAATACAAAACAGAAATTTTGTTGACTTGTGATTCCTACTCTGACTAGATTATATTGCAGCTCATGGTATAAATGGTTTTAAATTTTTTGTAATAATTCTTGTCTTTTTTAAATACTCTTTTAAATATTTATGGCTTTTCAATACTTGTAACACTTGTAGATACACGTACATTTCTGTAACAGTTCTTTTTGTTAAACTCATCATTGTCACGTGTCTAAATAAAGTTATTTATTCATTGATTAATTCATTGAAACAGATAGCTGTTTTAGTAAGGAAATGGAAGAGTACGCATTGTCACATTCCTACATCAGTATTGTCTAATTTTAGGAATTACCTATGCCAGCATAGGGGCTAGACAGGTGCATTACTATTTTCACATGGAGTTTCTATGTATATGGAAGCCATTGCCCACCTCACAATAACAATAATTAAACTCATAGTCAATTACAGGGTTACCTCCCCCCTGCCAACCAGTACCCATATTGAGACCTGGAAAAGGTGAGGCACTTTGGGCCTATAGTATCTTGCTCGAGAACAAAATGCAATGCTCCAACACTAGACATCAAAACTGGACTAATGTCGAGTCCAGTGCACTAACCATTCAGCCACCATGCCTCCTCCTCTGATCCTTATGATTAGAAAGGGGTGAGTGGGGTCAATTGGGATTAGGGTGGAACCCTTATAACATTGCGTAACCAAGAGTGACTTAAGGCAACTTAAGGCGGCTTAAGGCAACTTAAGGTACCAGAGTAGGCCTACTTGATGGTGGCTTCAAACAGTTTCGTCCTGTTCATACACCAAGTCTTCAATGGATCATACTCTGTGAACTTTTTCTGTGTGGTACCTGGCAAATTATTTTTCTTTAAAAGTTGCCATCGTTGTTTTGACATTTAAGATGAATGTAGAGAAACAGCGTCTTCAACATTTTTAAGAAAACGTCAATTTCAACTTCAAAAGATCATTACATAGTAATTGCCCTATAGATATTTTACTTTATGCAAAATGAAGTAAAAACTGACTTGAGTTTCGAAGCCACCATCATTTTGATACCTTGAAGTGTGGAAATATCGATTCATTTAGAAACTACTGTTTTAAGAGCAACAAACCGATTTTGATCCCCCTTGATAATTGAAGTTTTCAATGAATCCAATTGACGACAAGAAAACTTCAATTTCACCTAAAACAATGACATATTTCAAATTATATTATTAACTTCAAATCTGTGTCAATGGCCAACACACAGCATTTTTCAAGTTTACACGGCCATCACGTAATATTCTATTAACTCTATAAACGTTAATGAAATACCAACTAGCTCTCTTGTGGAATTTTCTTGAATTGTTTTTTCTCCTTTTCGTTCCTTGCAAACAAAGTTGAGGTCATAAATAGCCTCTTCGTAAGATTATCAGTACTATCGTCAGACACATCTGTGAATCTGAATCCGCCATTCAGAAATTGTGCAAAAGGCGCGATTCAGTGCTCAACAACACAAAAGTAACATTTTAATTTTTATCTGAAAGCCTACCCGGTATTTTATTGGTGTTTCTATACTAATTTGTTCTTATTGACTGGGTGGGAGGGCCGGACGTGAAAAATGTTTGGTTGTCAGCCATGACGCATGGACCTAACTTCCGTCGGTCCGTAAATACCATTTCTAACTGAGTATGACCACATGGCCAGGTCTTTAGACTAGTAACCGAGAAAAAAAAAACATCATGCAAACGAACAAGTAAAAACCATCAACCATAACAACAATAACAAAGCAAAATACACCACCAAATTGAAAAAGACAAAAGAAAAAAACACAACAACAACAACAACAACAACAACACATGTTTATATCTGATAAATAAGTTTTATTATTATACACTGTAGTCACCATCTGTCTTCTCATTGGCTAAACGCCCACAGTTAAATCTGGGAAACAGCGCAACCTAAAGATTATTCACTAATCTGTTCCCACAGATTAGTGAATAATCTGTAGGTTGCCGCGCAATGCATGATTTCCGGTGGAGCATTGTCAAGTTCACGGACAGCGAAGTAAGAATGGCCTCTCGATTCGCTTCGTCGACCCAGCGAGAAATTGAGAGCTGTACTTGAAGATAAAGATTCGGAAAATACTAAATGATCGGCAGTTTTCATCAATGATACTTTCTTTAGAAATACATTTAATTTTTCTGCACCTCATTGTTTTATGTAAAAATTTGTTTACCACACCGTTGTACATTTTTGAGTGTTCGAAAATAATCAGTGTTCGCTGCGATAATGCGTTTGGCGTTATTTTCTTTAAACCAATGTATAATAAAACAATTATTGGATGAGGTTTTTGTGATATCCGGAATAATCAAGGTCTCGGTTAGTGTTATCAGCCTCAACCTTCGGCTTCGGCTGATAACACTTACCTCGACCGTGATTATTCCGGATATCGCAAAACCCTCATCCAATAATGGTTCATAAATAGACGAGACATTGTGAGCTGGCCACTGTCTGGAACATAAAGAAATTCTACAGCTTTTGTTTCGAACGTTAGTCAATCGTCAGCGCGAATAATTGAAAATTTTCTGACGAAGGGCTAACGCTTGAAACGTTCGCATTAGAAACTTTTTACGATTGGTGATTCACATTATCAACTCATTTGATAAAACCATATTATCTTATAACAGCCCCTAACGACGCAGCACCCACTTTACAGATCTCTGTGTGCTATGTTAAAGACGACAGAGAGAGCGATCTATGTTCTCCCACCGAGATCGGCATTCAATTAAGACACAAAAACGAAATATCTATCTTTTTGGATTAACAAATAGAGGAGCCTTGACTGTGTTCTGTTCTTTTGCAAAGCACGCAGGGAGCAGCTATAGCGGGAGAAAACCGCAGGAAAAAACTCGAGGCGTAGTCGAGTGTTTCTCGTTACATCTTTATAGAAAGAAATCTGTTGAATTCCCCACGCATTTGTTTCAATTTTCAGAAGAAACCTTAATTCCAAAGCAAACAAAAGTGTTGAATTCAGCACTTTTGCTTGGAGTTTTTTAGTCTTATGACGAAATCTGAAAGCAAAATGTTCAGTGCAATCCAGCCGAATTGTAGCTTATAAAAACACGTAAGTTTTTTCACGCGACAATTACAAAATAAACTGTTCAAGGTGTGTGTTTGCTGAAAGAACGTCGACAACCGAATTCAAAGGAACAAAAAGACAGCGCCGTAAAACTCGGTTGCTCTAACTGATGTGGCCTTCCACTCCACGCATTGGAAAGGATATCAGAGCAAGCTCCCAGTTCTACCCCCTCGAGGGGCGGGGTGTAGTGAAACTGGTTGGTCTGATCATCATTTTACTTTTTTCAGCTGACCTCGGATGTCCTAGAGGGCAGTGGCATGCAGTATTATTGTACCACCACCCTATCCCACATTTCTTCACACACGTATACCCTGTATGGCCATTGCTATCTTGATCTCCAGTAGTAAATGTTTGCCCATTGGAATCTTTCAATGGCCCCCAATCGTTTCCTAAACAAATACAAATAGAGAGATTTATACTAATTCAATGAATTTACAAAGTTTGA